AGTGTCCGAGGAAAAAATGAATCCAGGAGGTCTCCGTCAATACCAGGTGCCAAGGACAGCAGGACAGGGAGCGCGAGGCGATAAACTGGCTTATTTCACTAATGTGTGCTGCATGATCATTTTTTACAGGCCGCAGAAGAGTGAAGACACTTTGTGCCCAAGTGTTCTCCAGGACGGTGTCCTTGTACGGATCGACCTCCTGTAGACGGCCGCCGGATAACGAGCAGAAGAGGTGGTTTCTGTCAAACTACACAGAAAAACAAAACAAAACAGATAGAGTTGGTGTTTTTTTTGCTGTCGTTGAGGTTTTTGCTTCTCGATCAGACGTCACTGCGCAGCCCTCTTAAACTTATTTTCATATATTTTTACATTTGTGCCTCTAATTACCCGAGGAGCACCACAGCGCAGCAATGGGAATGGACCTGGTAGAAGTCGATAACGTAATAAATGCGCCATTTTTAAGATGGAAAAGTCCTGAACTGATAACATGTTATCTTTAATAAGTTATTATGGTATTGGCCAAAAGTTGCTACGCTATCGGTTCAGGACTGTATTACGTTGTTGGCCAGTTATTACATTATCGGCCTATTGCATTTTAAAAAGTGCAAATTTATTCCGTTATCGGTTGTTATTACATTATTGGCTTCTACAGACCTTTTTGGGGCTTTGATGTGCCAATTTTTTTGTTATTTATTCGTGCTTTTGAAAGAAAATGTTTTAAATAAATTGATTTCTTGCATTTACTGTACAAAAATGTAAAAAGAAATAAATAAATGAATATAAAATAATCATATATCAGCCTATAGAAGGTCATTGGAGGTGCTTTCACTATCAACGTGTGGAGCTGTTCTTTGTGTGAGGACAGTTTCAACTCCACCTTAAAATAACTAATTGTTTCCGTTTATCCAAAATCACATTTTTAAAGAGATTTTGAACATTTGTTTTCTCAGAACAGAACCAGGTTGAATAGTTTCACCTGCCTGAAGCCTCAAAGCAAAGTAAATCCTCCTCCATCTGTACTCACATGAGAGCAGCGTCGGTCTTTAATGTCACCATCTCACAAAATGTTCAATCATTACTTTAAAGATAACATTTTTTTTTGATGTGTTTTAATTCACATTTGCACTAAACACAAATGTACCTGTTGTTTCTCAGTCTGAGCCAAAGCTTCAGCTGCCATCATCCTCTGCGTTTCCACGTTTCCTCTTCATCAGCTCCGGCTTTTCCTCATTTCAGACAGCATCTGTAGCTTGTGCCTGCGTCTCCCCCGAGACTCCGACATCAACCAGAGCAGAGGCCAGTGACACATGTGATTGATGACCCCCAAAATGGAAAAGAGAGAGATGGACAGATTCCTTTTATCAGGATTGAGGTCCGACTAGATTAAAATGCAGTTGTACAACGCCTCCTCCCCCTGTTCGTGGTTTCCCCGTTGCCCTTCTTAGCATCCCTTCTCCATCCGCTGTCAGTCAGGCCGCCGGATGGACGGGAATTTTCTCTCCATCTCCTCCGCTGACCTCCCCGACTCCAGGGGAAGTGGTGTGGACGTGGCTGATTGTGCGAGACTTTAACCAGTCACTTTCAAATTGACTTGAGGCCTTTTTTTTTTTCTTTTCATTTTGCCTCTGCAGGAAAAGTGTGCGAGACAAATCTCTGCGGAGCGTTCCTCACACCATTTGCACAAAACTGCTTGGTTAAAGGAGGAGGAAAGGGGGAGGAAAGTATGAAATGTGTTGGAACATTAATCACAAGCAGCTAACCACAATCAACCCCTGAAAAAACACACAGAGTGAAGAGGGGAAATTCTCCTTTTCATCGCTCACTAAGTGCTGATTAAAAGAAAAGAGACAATCACTCTCATTCATGGGAGTGCAGCTGACTCATTGTCACATCGCAGAAGTGGGAGATTCTTTTTTTTTGTGGAGGTGCTGAAAAGACGTCTCAGTAAAAAGGACCTGCGTTTGTTTTTCAGATGGCTCTCTAATGACTGGATGTGATTAACACAAATTATCTCACTTATCGCGGCTCTACAGGCTCACACAGACAGTCTCTCTGCAGCGCTACTTAACATGCATTTAATCAGGCAGCAGTCAGCATCGCACACACAAGGACCGCAATGACCAGATCTCTGTCGCACAACGCTCCGTTTCTGTGTCGTTTCTTTTGGTGACAAAAAAATTACAGATTTATGGAGTCATAAAACCAGAACGCTAAGCTAATAAACCATTAGCTTTTTGACACAAAGTCAGTTTAGAATTCATCCGTAGAGCAAAAAGTAGGTTCAACAACTACGAGCAGTCAGACAATCACACAGATACGGACACATTACCGAGTTAGTTTAGCTGAAAGACAATGAAAACAGTACAATTATTACCCAAACTAGCCGTCATGGTCTACAGATTTTTGCTTTGAGTGTGCCATACTGGACCTCCAAATGAAAATAAATGCAATAATGTGGAAAATGTGCTTCTTTAAAACCATCAGAACATCTGACTGCTCGTGTTCTTTGCTTCATTCCAGCAATTTATTTGCTGTGTTCTCAAATATGACAGAAAGGTCGAAGTAAAGCAGAGTTTTGATGTTAAAAAACACAGTGTCGTCATGAGACAGCTGCAGGTTTTAATAAAACATGAGAATATGTAGCGTCGGTGTACACTGGATGGAGGCAGTATAAACTACAGAGTGTGTCAGTTATGGCGTGTTTTTAGTCATTTCTGCACAATTTTCTGCAGCACAGAGAAATATGAGATAGTTTTTGATACACCTACTTACAGATATATCCATTTTTCATGTTGGACTTTTTATAGGATTCACCAACAACAAGGTGCTCTTTGTCTTTACCATTTAGGTTCAGTCCAGACCAGAGAGGATTTCTCTTCTGTAAACATGTCACAGTATGGGGTTGCTGAATCAAAAATCCCCCCCGTCAACATCTGTCTGTGAGATTATATACTTTTATCATCCCGTCATACCGAACCTGCGCAGCCATCTGCGAGCGAGTCGTCCAGGCTGCCTTTAAGCTGCTGCCGTCCCTCCGCCCAACCAGAATGTGACCCCGTGACATGGCAGGCACCCGGAGGTCAACCTGCCACAGCCAACGGGCCGGAAGTCACCGTGGGGGCCTTTTTATCCTGATGAGGGTTACGCGGGTCTATGGAGGCCTGGGGGGGCCTTCAGAGAGGCATAAAACTGTCAGAAAGCACACAGAGGTGGAAAATAGAAAATGTTCAGGATGTCGTTGAGGAAGTTTTAGGGAGTGTGTGCTTTACTTTTTGCACTTACACAACAGAGCATATTTAAATAATATGAATACAACTTACACAATCTGACTTCCTGTGCATCAGTAGATGCAATAACTTTATTTAAAAATTGGTATCACTGTGATACAAGACCACCAGTAAATGACAGTAAATGTACATTTTTCTTAAAGTTTCGAGTAGAAAGCAGTTGAATTTCCAATTATAGATAGATAGATAGATAGATAGATAGATAGATAGATAGATAGATAGATAGATAGATAGATAGATAGATAGATACTTTATTCATCCCTTTGTAGAAATTCAAGGTACCCAGTAGCTCACAAATGTTACTGGTCAAAGAATTAAGGTGTTTTTACATTTTATTAAGGTGTGTATTTACAAAAAAAGGTACAAAATAGTTGCTATTTACAATCAGAGGACTAGAAAAGCACAAAAGAAAAGTACAGCGTAAAAATAGAACTACTAATAAGCACATACATATCACTAAACATATGGTCAAAATGAACATTTAAAGCTTCGTTTCAATTTTATGAATAAAAAAATAAATATGTACTAGTGTGCATGCATTTGGAAAGAGGAACATTAGAAGAATAAACAGAGCAGAATGGACAAAATTAACAAAAATATTCACTTCAGACCACTAAAGAATGAGAACGATTAAGAATTTGAAGCTAAAGTTGCATTCGTTTGGTCCCAGCTCACAGTTTGTGTGACTTGCTGCCACAGACGCAGTGACTGCAGAACATAACGAGGCTCTAATCTAGTCTGAACACCTCAGACGTAAGCTAACGGCGACGCTGCAAGAAAACACACACAAACCAAACTGTGTTCTCATTTCCAAGCTGAGGCCACGTTTTCGCTGCTTTAACGTTTTAATGATGAGCTGGACGGTGATGAGGAGATATTATAGAGGTGGTGGTGGTGGTGGCAGGATGGGTGGGTGTGTGGGGCAGCATAAATTGTGTTAGCTACTTCATTGAAAGACAATGGAGGACAAGATGTTGTGTGTAGTGTCACCCACGTGCTTCTGCACCACTATTGTCTGCTCTCCTTCCCTGGTAGAGGGGAGACGAAAGGGGTGAAAGGAGGAGGAGGATGTGGGAAGAGGAGGAGGAGGAGGAGGAGGAGGTTGGCTGCTCTGTGTGTGTGTGTGTGTGTGTGTGTGTGTGTGTGTGTGTGTGCATACATGTGTAAGTGTGTGTGTGTGTGTGTGCATGCAGGCAGAAGCACAGACGGCTCGTGGTAATTTGATGTGTGTCCCCGGGGATGTTTGATGGATTAATGCTAAGCAGCTCCCTCTTCCAAAGCACCACCTGATCTTTGGGGCTCGTGCCCCACATATAAAAGGCTGCAGTAGTGCTGAGCTCAGCTAGTCCAGCATCTCTCTCTCTCTCTCTCTCTCTCTCTTCTCTCTCTGCCTCTGTCTCTCCCTCTCGCCACTTTCTGTCTTCCCTTCCATCCTCTCTGTCCTCCTTTCTCTTTCTCTTTGCTGCTTTTCTCCCCTCCTCTCTTTCTCTTTCTCCCTCTGGCTTTATTTCCAGGATAGATTTGACTGCAGGTTTTTTTTTGTTGTTTTGTTTTTCCAATCCTCAGCTGTTTTTTCTTTTTCCTTTGGCCTGTTGAAGAAGGCCGCCTGGAAGCTCAGTGTCTGTCTTTTTTCTTTTCTTCCAATCATCATTTTTCTATGAGGGTTTAGCATCAGTGTTTCATCAGAGGGGAAAAAAAGAAAAGAAAAAAAAGATGCCACGCTCCTTTTTGGTGAAGCAGCCGAAGGTTCATGATTTCTCGTCTTCCAACTACTACCATGAGGACCAGCAGCAGCAGCAGCAGCAGCACTGGGACGATTCTTACACTGTGACACATGCCATCACTGAGTCGGCCACCAACTTGGCGGTGCGTCTGAGTGAAAACGGTGAGTTGTGTTTCCTACTTTGCTTTGTGTGTTTCTGCTGCTACAGCGTAGACGGGTTTCTCTGCGTGGAGACGCTCCACATGGTCTTTGGATATCCTACAACAACAGACACGTTATGTTGATGTTTTAATCTGCTCTTGGAAACCCCCAAACCCCCCACTGGCAGCGCTAACCCTCCTTCCGTATGCCTCAGGACTTTTGTTTTCTAACTCGGTGGATGCTAAATAGTATTCAGGTCACGGCTCAGTCAGCTTAATACTCAAACCAGATCGCACGGCAGCCTTTGGCTTTAATACTATTGTGTACACGAGTGATGAGATATACATGGAATTAGGCACAAAATGTGATGCAAGCATTTGTTAGGGCCAACCAGAGGAGGACAAAAAAGGAAAAAAGTCAGGAGAAAGCAGATATCCACATGGGACAGTGTTGTCCTTAGATGGTGCCGTTGCCCTTGAGTCTCTCCTCTTATCATCCAACCTCCCCCTCCTCTGTACTCCCCCCACCCACCCCATTCATCTCTCCATCTTTCTCCATCTGATCCTGCAGGATGTTAGATAGCCACAGGGAGTAAGATTGCAGCAACACAATCCATATGTGGAGCAGTGAGAGGTTACGGAACGGGGTTTTTAGAGGGATGGGTATTGACTGGAAAATAGAGAGTGCTGCAGGTAATTCAATAAAGTGCAACATGAGCAGTATGCTGGCAGACAGTAGATTCTCATCTGTGGGATTTCTACTGAGACTGGGTGTGAGAACTGCACTCCAGCACAAACAATATGTGGTGTGTTTGAGTGTATACGTGTGTGTGTGTGTTTGGCCCTGAGAAACCCACCACCACCACCACCACCACCACGAACCCTGATCCTGATCCCCCCCCAACAACCAGCATCACAGATCTTGTGTTCGAGTTGAATCATTTGTCCCCCAGATTTAGGATGCCAGCTGTCTGCTTCCCTTTGTGTGTGTGTGTGTGTGTGTGTGTGTGTGTGGGAGGGGGGGGCTACAATATACCATTGACTGCTGTCAAGATCAGACAACCAGCCCCCCCTCCCCTCCCTCCCTCACACACACACCTTCTGCTGCACACACACACACACACACACACACACACACACACTCCCTCCAAAGCCCTCCCTTCCCGTCTTTGCCAAATCGCAGCCCCCACCTGTCACTCAATCTCCCCATTACCATACTCATGAACACTCTCAAAAACACCACAGATGGGGAATGATCTGATTAAAATGATTTAGTGATTGAGGGGATTTCACTGCTGAGACACTCTGTTTTGAACACCACCCCCACCCCACCCGCCCAGCCTCCCTCACAGATTCAGACTGCTGCTGCTGCTGCTGCGAGGTGCCGACAGGTGGATCGATCAGTGCCGGGTGGCACTATTGCTCCGTGACCCTTTTTGTCGGTGTCAGCACATTGTGTTAGACTTATATTGAGCCTTTCATTTTATTTATTTTTTTAAATGATAGCACTTGTTGGAGCTAGTCGGGGTATTGATTTGGGCACCGAAGACTCATTAATATTTCAATTCTAAAGCTTGCTGAACCTGCCACTTACAAATAGCTTCCTGTGGAGGTTCATGTTTGATTGGTGAGAAGGCACTTTTCATCAGAGGTTATTCAGATCCTGAAGATGTTCCATTCATTTCAAAAATCTTTTTCGTTTGTATACTAAATGTGTTTTTTTTCTTCTTCTTCTTTTCCAGGCTACATCCATGATTACGTCATCCCCTCAGTGTTGCAGAGCACAAAGGAGTCGGGTCATGAGCAGACCGGGCTCTCCTCAGGGCCCCTGTACTCCTCGGGGGGCAGCAGTGGGGAGGAGTTTTCCGACCACGACATGGAGCATCCAGACAGCCCCGTCTCCAGCGCCACAGTCGAGTCGGACAGCAGCGGCCCTGAGTTGGAGGCCTGCACCATCGGCGCCTTCCTCATTTCCGACGGTCGCTCCCGCCGGAGGCCCAACCAGAGGTGTCCTCGCAAGGGAGGCAGCGACTCGGACGGCAGCGAGGGCATCGACTCGGCGGACTGCAGCCCCATCAAAGGGAAATCCAAAGGGCGCCACATGTGCAGCGAGTGTGGCAAGTCTTACGCCACATCCTCCAATCTGAGCAGGCACAAGCAGACTCACCGCAGCCTGGACAGCCAGCAGGCCAGGAAGTGTCCCACCTGCCACAAGGTGTACGTGTCCATGCCGGCGCTGGCCATGCACATGCTGACCCACGACCTGAAGCACGAGTGCACGGTGTGCGGCAAAGCCTTCAGCCGGCCGTGGCTCCTGCAGGGCCACATGAGGTCTCACACCGGGGAGAAGCCGTTCGCCTGCGCCCACTGTGGCAAAGCCTTCGCCGACCGCTCCAACCTGCGCGCCCACATGCAGACGCACTCGGCCTTCAAGCACTACTCCTGCAAACGCTGCCACAAAAGCTTTGCACTCAAGTCCTACCTGAACAAGCACTACGAGTCGGCCTGCTTCAAAGGGCAGCACGCAGAGGATGACTGCAGCTCTGAGGACTAAAAGGGAAATACTCATTTATTTTTTCTTTCTTTTTTAAATTAAACACTTTTTAAGAGTTCATGAAGTCAGAGAGAAGCTCGTCTCTTCTCAGGCTCGTCACATGCATGCATCATAATCCTGCCTTTTGATATAAGCAATAACCTCACTTTAAATTCTTCAGGAATCATGTATGTAGATAAATTCATCGAAATGTCTGTGTTGATCACAAATGTAAAATATTTTATATTCTTTTTAAAAAAAAAATCAAATTGCAATAATTTACATGTCAGTATTATTTTAAATGCCATCTAGCTCTTAATTTACCTCAAACTGTTATGTTAGTCACATAAAGTACTTGCGTATTTATTAATTTATTTAACTATTTATTTGCCAATTTGAAGATTATTTATTTATTATTGGTTGATGTATTTGTGAAATTGACATGAATTTATTACAAGCCATGGATTGGATTTGTTGAGAACAAAAGCCAAAATGTATTCTGACACGTTATATTTCTCTGTCTGATCAATTTGGTGATGACAATAAAACAGCTGATTTGAATAATTACTGAAACTCCCCTTTACTCGTTCCCCCAGACGTCTTTGCAGAACTGATGTTGTTCCGTTCATCATTGTACACAATTTAAAGAAAAAACAAACAACATTCCAGCAAACAGTCTTATTTCTGTCAGTAGGTTTTTCTATCTTCAAAATAGAGTTATGGGGAGATGGGAAAGTGACTGATGGTCTGTTGCTCCTGGTTCATCTGTCCATTGCTACAGTGCTGCTTCTCTTGGATTTCCAACAGCGAGCGCTGCTTTATGCTGGTTGGTGACTCTGTAGTTAGTCTGACTCACCACATGTAGACCACAGGTATAAATCTGCCACTGGCTGCTCATTGCTTACAGCTTTCCTCTTACCTTCCACTGTGCACCTGTTAGAGTTTCAACTTTACATTCATTGCAAGAAACAACTTCTGGTTAAGAAACCTGCCACACTGAATATCTCAACTTTTGAATAAGGTTTGGATTGTACTTTTTTTTTCAGTGAATTGTCCATTTTATTGACAGTGCTCAGCTTCCTGCATGCAAATAGTCCACCTAAACTATTTCCACTATTTTGAGGGGATACTGTTGCTTAGCACAGCCCAAGACAATTATAATTAGCTTGAAGTAATACCAATGATTTTAAAGCTGAATGACACTAAGGTGCAGTCAGAGCATTCTGCACAGTGTCGGCACCAGACTATGGTCTGGTTATGCAAAACTATTTTGGAGCTGACTTGGTCTTCAAGGAGTCAGACTTGCTTCTCCATAAA